AGTGGATTATCACAGCAGGTGAATGGCACAAGTACAGACTCAGCAGTTCTCATTGTACATTCTGACAGCAGCAGGAACCTCTCCTTCACACAGAGACTCAGTGGATAAATATGATGCATAACACACTGAAGACCTGTATCTGTGATCGGTCTCGCTCTGGTCTCGCTCTGGTCTCGCTCTGGTCTCGCTGTCCTAAAAGCCTCTGATTTAGTCGACATGAATCACCGCAGCAGAGGATTCTGGGAGACACAGCTTTGACCCAATTACACATTTATTTATTAAATTATTGATGTGTGTGAGACTTCAAAAGGACAAGGACATCATTCAAATGTAAAGACAGGAACACACCTCGAACAACCACTTCAGAACAGATCCATAAGTAACTTTAAAGCTGGGGTCTGTAACTCTCAGACCAACAGAACTCTGTTCTAAACCCATGTCTTTAGCTCTAGCTCTTAAAACAGTTGCTTCTGTCACTAGTTTCACATCAAGTATTTGTGATTGGTGATGCCAGATATTTAGATCAAAGAGAGGGCCGCCGCCTCCCTCCTTCAGCCAATCAGCTGTGAGCCCAAAGAGGCAGATAATGACTCACAGATGAGGACAGCATGTAAAACATGTGTTAATTATGAGACTAAAGTTACGTCCCCCAGCTTTAAACTACAGCCAGTGAAACCAGAAGAACAAGCACAAGCCAAGTCACACTGACTTGGCTTGACCAGGAAAGCCTGGTCAGACCGCTAAGCAGGCGTGGTACCAGGCAGTGGTGTGATGGAAGACCGTATGACCCACCTTCTATGGCGATGACATGCTCTCGGATCTGGTTCTGCAGGGCGGGCTCCTCCACACGCTCCAGCAACTCGTAGATGGAGTAGATGTTGGGATGCACCGACTCGAAGCGCTGAATCTCCCCGCGGATGGCAGCCGAGGTGGCCAAGTGCTGTTGGTAGTTCATGTCTGTGTCCCGAAAGCAGATAGGGCCCACAGGAACTAGGGCTGTAGACCGCTGGGAACACAGAGGGACGAGCTAAGCATGCCCTGGCTATGGAATACTACACTACACCACCATTGTTTGGATAGGAGAAGCTACTCAAAGGCTTATCTGCAGTTAAAATGACTGAGTTTCAATTTATTTTAGCTTTTTATTTGTACGCTCACGACCAGTCCAAGGATACTATAACAGATCATTGTTTTGGTTGGAAAGGCTCATTCAAAATATTGTATAATACAATGAATGAGAAAATTAGCTTAGTTATGAATACAAAACTTCATAATGTTCATATAAGAACCACGAGACAAACACTGCAGATATTATTTTCAACCAAGCTATAATCTGTGAAAGAGCTACAAAATAGAGATAAGAGAACCTTTATTCGTCCCACAGTGGGGAGATGATATAATAAAAGTGTCTTTAATATGAAGTGTGCTGACAGATAGACAGCAGACCACACTAATGACAATGTCGAAGCTTATAACTGCAGCTAAATCTGTTTTTATCATAAAAAAACAGGTAAACCTCACTATTCACTCCCTGCACGTCTGCTATTGATATTTTAATATACCGTGGTCCCAGCGAACAATAGGTCTACAGCCCGTGTTAGACACAAGTCCAGCCGAACATGATTGCAGTAATGACGTGATTATATCGTGTTTAAATAAATCCATCCGAAAGGCATGTCTCCAGGAGAGCGAGGGCTGCTGCAGATTGTGCCCGGAGAAAGGCAGCCTCTCCCCGGGGAAGCGTCCCTGTGTCCCACTGCGGTGTCACGGATGTGGGGAAAACCTTACACCGTTAACCCATGTCATTCCCGACTCCAAAATTCCACGATCGCGTTTGAAATCCAACTTAAGGTCCCACAAATCCACAAATACGAGATGTAAACAGCGAGCTAATGCTAATGCTAAGAGGAAAAAATGGTGAAACTTTTGTCCATAAAGCAGCCTTTTAAAAACACACAGGCTGGATAGTTATGTGCGCTAGTAATCGAGATATTTAATCCTTTTGTCTTTTTGGTGTAGTGTTATCCCCATGGAAAAGACTGCTGTCCGAAAAGCACAGCTCCTCTTGGGGTAAGCTCAGAGCTGGGAGCCGCTCGGATCATGGAAGTCAATGCTAACAGCTAGCGTTAGCGGCTAAAGGCCTTGTTGCTTAGTAACTGAATTAGCCGGATAACGGGAAGAAATAACTCGTTTTTAGTGTTTTTAAAGGTTAAATGGCGCTGTAAAATCCCGGCAATGAGAAGAGAGAGTGCACTAGTGTACATCCACAGGGAATAGATCCAGTTGTGGTGAAAAAGCTGAGTTTGAAGCAGAGTTCCAGGTCCAACGCCTCAGTGCGTTGTTCCAGCCGGGATGAGGAGCTCGGTGGGCGGCTACAGCTGAGCCCGTGGTCCGCTGCTGTGGAGGTCCTTGGCAGGTCCTGTCACTAGATACTTGGACAAAATACTCGATACCCCGTCTATTAATTATAAATACTATTTTTAGATAATAATTAAAACATTCAGAATTAAGAGTTTTATATTTGAGTTTTATTTAGGGATAATACATCTATATACAGAACTCATGAAATAATGTTTTTAATGGGGCCAAACGATTCCGTTCTTCTGAAACAGTGTTAGAATAAAATGCAACAACAAAAAATCACGAAATTTCCAACTGTATCTTGTTGTATTTATTTATCTACTTTCTAACTGTTTTAGTGAAGCTGGGGGTCTGGAACTTTAGTCTAATAAATAACACATTTTTAAAACTGGGGTCTGTAACTTTAGTCTCAAACAACACATGTTTAAGTAGTGTAGAGTAGAGTAGACCACAGTAGAGCAGAGTAGAGTAGAGCTGGTGGAAACGGGACTGCAGGTCCTCACTCTATCCTCTTGTTGCAGTGTGGCGCCCCCTGTGGCTGAACACACACACTACAGCAACAAACCACAAACTCAGATTTACACAAAACAGTATAAAAATACACTTTATTTGAACATAGATTAATAAAGAAAATGTTGAAAAATCTTGAATAACGAATGATATTATCTAATACAGGTAAAAGCTAAGGATTGTAACGATATAGCCTAATATATATAACAGAAATACTCAATATAAAGAGTAATACACAGAGGGATGGAGACTCAAACACAACTGGATGTTCTCCCCTTCCACATGAGACTCAGCTGCAGATAACAGCTCCGTCCACCAGGAGGCAGTATGTGATTCCTCTCCTCCCCTTCTGCTGCTGCTGCTCTGTGAAGGCCTTCAGCACAATCTCATGTTCTCCGATTACAAACCGTGTCTGCGAACCGTCCTCCACAAACTCAGACTGAAAAGAGAGAGACCAGAGCGAGAGACCAAAGTAAGGCAAGAGAGCGAACAGAGAGAGTCCAGAGAGACCAGAGAGACCAGTGAGAGGCCAGAGAGAGACCAGAGAGAGACCAGAGAGAGACCAGACAGAGACCAGAGAGAGACCAGACAGAGACCAGAGAGAGACCAGACAAAGACCAGAGAGAGAGTATAATATAATAGAGTATCTCAAAATATCAAAACATGTAAATAACAAATGAAAGCTCGTACGTTTGAGAGCATCTTCTGACCGTTACACCAGACGTCCAGTGTGTCCTTCTCTAGAACACAACACAAGAGTCTGATGTATGTGAATGATAGCCCTAGCTTTTCCCATTAAAGTTTGAGTACATTATTTTAAAGCTGGGATCTGTAAATTTAAAGCTGGGGTCTGTAACTCTCAGACCAATAGAACTCTGTATTAAACCCATCTCTCTGAAACGGTTGCTTCTGTCACTAGTTTCACATCATGTATTTGTGATGTCACAGCTTTTAAAAGTATTTCAGTAAAGTTTTACCAAAGACCATGCGGTACTGGACCTGGTCCAGCACCAGGAACCAGGTCTGGGTGGTCCTGCTCCGGTTCTGGGTGAACTTCTGCAGCGTTAGTCCGTTCACAAGGAGAGAGTACTCATAGGAGAAACCTTCCAGAGCCTGGATTTGGATCACAGCTTTGGTCCCAGTGAGTCCCAGAGGAAAGGACTCAGACCCAACCAGTCTGAACATCCAGTCCCTGCGCAGGACCTCCTGAGGACCAGACCAAAACCAGGTCTCAGAACAACAACTAAAGCAAGACTAAAACAGGACTGAAGCAGAACTAAAACATGTCTAAAACAGGTCTAAAACAGAACAAAAGCAGGTCTTAAGCAGGTCTAAAACAGAACTGAAGGACTCACTTGTCCGTTGACATAGACCACTCTTTTCCCAGTCGTTGTTCCGTGTTCAAACTCGACTTTATAAACAGCGTCCGACAGAGAAACCTCCCACACAGCACAGACCGACCTGCACATGACAAGACCAGGTCTGAACCAGGACTGAACCAGGTCTGGAGCAGGTCTTGTATTGATGCCTCAGCACACCAGGAGTTGCTTTAAGAGGATTAGCTGCAAATGAAACTCGTCACCTTCAACATTGTTTGAAAAGAAAGCATTGAGACAGAAGGGGAGGGGGCTGAGAGCTGTCTATGTTCTGACAGATCCAATAAATCTGAAGCAAGACAGCTAGACCAGGACTAAAGCAGGACTAAAGCAGGACTGAAGAAGGCTAAATTCTTGCTGGTCCTGGTCTTGGTCCAGATTGGGTCCGATCCCAGGTCCCCTTACACTGATTCTGTGAATGAGAGACGAGAGGAAAGATGCTCAAAAGTCTGAGATTAAAGCTGGGGTCTGTAGCTTCAGTCTCACCTTCACCACAGGTTAGTCCAACAGAGTGATGTCACATGTTGTCCTCTGGGGGGAGCTGTCGGACTATACTGCGCGCCTCACAGTCAGAGCGCGTAATTTAGACGGACGGGAGCGCGCACGGCTGATTTAAAACCAGAGAACGCGCGTCTCAGCAGTCCAAAAGTAAACCAGGTCTGAACCAGGACTGAACCAGGTCTGAACCAGGTCTGAACCAGGTCTGAACCAGGTCTGAACCAGGTCTAGACCAGGACTGAACCAGGACTGAATTAGGACTGAACTAGGTCTGAACCAGGATCTCTTTGGACTTTGATCAAAAGCGTGGAGTTTATATAGTTGGAACACGGACTTGCTGCTGCAGCGCGCACAAAGGAGAACCGTATCTGTGCTCCTCCTCCTCCTGACCTCCTCATCCTGACCTCCTCATGACTTCTTCCTCCACATCCTTCTGACCTAATCCGCCTCATTCACATAAATATTTAAAGAAACAGGTGAGAATTGACATCATCACACAGACATGACCTCATACACAGACTGTGACATCACACAGACATGACCTCATACACAGACGGCTGTCCACAGGTGGATGGCTGACCTCCTCCGCTCACACTGAACATGTGTGCCCTCCTGCTGCTCCTGCTGTGCTGCTCCTACAGCATGTGCACTGAGGAGGAGCTTCAAAAGGAGGAGCTTCAGGAGGTGGTGAAGCAGCACCTCCTCAGCCTCCTGCACCTCCTCTCTCCTCCTAACATCACCCACGCTCCACCGCGCGCCGCTCTACGCTCCGCTCTGCGTCGAGTCCATGCAGAACTGCAACCAGACGGACGAGTGCAGCTCACACCTGAGCCCACCCCCCACACCTATGACATCATCAGCTTCTCTGAGAGAGGTGAGTGACATCATGAGCTTCTCTGACAGAGGTGATGACATCACACTACAGCAGCAGAGCTAACCATCATCTGTGTGTAGATCACATGACCCTCTCGCCGTCAGCCATGTTCTTCCTCGTCTCAGAAGGAAACCACAGTCTGTCGGTGACTCAGGCGTCTGTGTGGCTTTACCTGCGCGTGGCCCCGCCCCCTCAGGCCCCAGCCCCTCACAGAGTGTGTGTGCAGCTGTACCAGCAGGGGGCGGGTTTCAGCAGTGGGTGGAGCCTGAGTGAGCGGTGTGTGCGAGTGCGGCGCAGCGGCTGGATCAGTGTGGACGTCACTGCGTCACTGCAGTCTGTGCTGAGGGAGCGTGAGAGACGCCTCAATGTTGAGGTGCACTGTGGGGGGTGTGAGGAGAGAGGGGTGTGGCCGGAGCTCAGAGGCCCCGCCCCATCCTCCCCCCACAGCCCCTTCCTGCTGGCTCACACTCGCCTCCCCCCCCTCAGACAGAGGCGGTCACTGCAGTGTGAGGAGGGGGAAGAGCTCTGCTGCAGACAGCACTTCTTCATAGATTTCAGAGCTCTAGGTTGGAGCCAATGGATCATAGCGCCCTCTGGATACCAGGCCAGCTACTGCAGGGGACGCTGTCCTGCACACATGTATGGGGCGCCAGGCTCCGCATCTTCTTTCCACACCGCTGTTGTCAACCAATACCGGCTCCGAGGGTTAGGCCACGCCCTTGGAAGTTCCGACATCAAAGAACCCGCCCCATCCTGCTGCGTTCCCACACGTCTCGCCCCCATGTCCCTGTTGTACTTCGACGACGACTTCAACATTGTGAAGAGAGACGTGGACAACATGGTGGTGGAGGAGTGCGGCTGCTCCTAGTCTCAAATATATCATATATATATGTAGATAGATAGATAGATATAACACAATATGTATATAAACCTGAAGTATAAATATAAAAAAAAAAAACACACACACTCTCTCTCTCTCTCTAAGCTCGGGTCCTCTACCAGAGGCCTGGAAACTTGAGAGTTATTTGCAGTATCTTTGCTGTTCTTGCTCTGCACATTTCTGGACCGAGATTTCCGAGGTTGTTCCAGGGATCCGCTGTAACCACTCCTCCAGCTTCGGGGTCACTGCCCCGAGTGCACCGATCACCACAGGCACTCCTGTCACCTTTACCCTCCAGGCCCTCTCCAGCTCCTCTCTGAGCCCTTGGTATTTCTCAAGGTTTTTGTGCTATTTTTTTATGATGTTGCCATCGCTTGGAATCTGCCCTTTGTCTACTACCACCATGTCAGGTTTGCCATTATCATTCGGTTGGTCTGGAAGTCTCAAAGGATCTTTGCACGCTCATTCTCCACAACCTTTGGAGGAGTTTCCCATTTAGACCTTGGAGTTTCCAGCCCATACTCTGCAGATGTTATGTGTTGGATCGTCTCAGGTCCTCCTTTGCACAACCGACACCTTGGGTCTTGTCTGGTGTGGTATATCTGGGCCCCTATCGCTCTGGTGCTTATGGCCTGCTCCTGTGCAGCCATGATGAATTTTAGCATCTGTGGTCTGAATCTCTTCCTTTGGCTGATCACTGGCAGGTCGTAGCTGTTAATTGCCCAGGCCTTGTTCTTGCCAGTGACTTCTTAGGACATGCCTTACTCTGAAGGTATTTGGCAGTTGTCGCTTTCCTCGTTGCCTGTTCGAGGTTGCCATTTGCCTGTGGTATACCGAGATACTTGTAGCTGGCCTCAACTTCTGCTATTGTTCCCTCTGGGAGTGAGATCCCTTCTGTGTGGACTACCTTGCCACTCCGAGTCACCATCCTGCTACATTTCTCGAGTTTGAATGACATCCCGATGTCATGGCTGTAGATCCTGATGGTTTGGATCAGAGAGTTAATGTCTTTCTCGCTCTGGGCGTAGAGCTTGATGTCATCCATGTAGAGGAGGTGACTAATCTTTGCCTTCAATTTATAGTGCGGGTTTATATACATTTGTTTTATGCATACATTAATAAACAGTTTTATATGTTTTATATACTGTCATATGTATACTGATGTCTCCCTGAGGTGGAATGATGTAATTTTAGAATTATTTTGATCTCATTCACAATTTTACAGTAACTGTTTCTAAGATGTTATGGTGTTCAAGACATTAAAGTTCAACTCATGGTTTGGATTGTTGTTTTTATATAAGTTTATATAAGTTAAATGTTATTTATTAGACTAAAGTTCCAGACCCCCAGCTTACTAAAACAGTTAGAAACTAGATAAATAAATACAATATTATAAACAAGATACAATTGGAAATTTTGTGATTTCTTTGTTGCATTTTATTCCAACGCTGTTTCAGAAGAACAGAATCGTTCATTAAAAACATTATTTTAAGTTATATATAGATATTATTAACTCAAAATAAAATTCAAATATAAAACTCTTAATTCTGAATGTGTTAATTATGATCTAAAAAATTGCATTTATAATTAATGGACGGGGTATCGAGTATTATGTGTCTACGGGCAGTTTCAAAATAGCCGCGGGGGCTGGATAATGTGCCCCATTCATTAAAGAGCGCCTTCAACATTCCACAGCGACTAAACTAGACTGGTCCAAAAAAATACACTCCCCTCAGCATTGACACACATTTGGAGCAGACTTTTGGACCATCCTGTAAAGCCGTTTTCAAGAGGTAAGAAGATGCTAAATATTAGAATTGAATGATTATTATTGCGGGTCCACCCCCACTGGCCCGGGGTGGTATTACAAGCATGTCAGCGAACATAATTTTAGACATTTTTGAGCCGGGACCTTCCCCCACTGCCACAAACTCACGACATGCTATAGTCAAGCTAAGAGCTAAAAACACCTAATGTGACTAGAGACTAAAAAATAGTCATGTGAGGTCTTGTTTTGCAGTAGCTTTACTGCGTTAGCCTTAGCAGGATTAGCACTGGAGTGTTGCTTCTGTTCTTTCACACGTTTCTTCTTCTAGGGTAGTTTCACATTAGACACAGAGACAGAGGCTGTGTCCAAATTGGTAGTCATCCACGTCGTGTTTGGCTGCTGTAAACATACGGCAACACGCATTCACGCTAAGCTAACTCACGCCTCCCTCGCTAACACTTGCTAACATTAAAGCCGCATTACCTCGCATTCATTCCATATCCATGCAATGCATTGGGATATACGTCCTGTTGAAGAAAAAGTAGCATAGATTTGTGCTGGCGTGTCATTTTATTTTAGATCGAGTTTTTGTGAAACAAGGACGAGAATTTTTTTCGGGACCAGATTGTGACCAATCACAGCGGACCACTGGCCCCCACGTTCTTGAGAAAAGCTACAGGTCTCTAGTTAGCACAAACAGCTAAGGTAAACAAGCGGCGGAGGCTAACCTGAAACTTTCCGTGTATTCGTTACCGGTTACTGCTTACTCAGTGAAACAGCCATCCAAAAGAAAGTTCCCGGTTCTATCATTCTATGGTCACGCCATCCACGTTCAAATGTGTGATCCATATTGTGAGACGTGAGCTCCATAAACAGTTAGCAGATGAGCCTGTGCCCTCCCCTGTGGGGGTGATAGCTTCGTGAGTGCAGGGAGGGGGAGCAGAAAGAGCGAGGCCAGCGCTTACATTCGAAAATGTCACAAAGTGAGTTAGTGCAGCTTTAAAGAAAAATTGTGGAGAAGTTTGGATTCTGGGAACTGATCAGAAAAACAACATCAAGAATAACATGGACCTGGGGGAAGCCGCATCACCTCTCTGGGTCTTCAGCCGTGTGTGTCTCTGGTCTCTCTTTGGTCTCTCTCTGGTCTCTCTCTGGTCTCTCTCTGGTCTCTCTCTGGTGTCTCTCTCTGGTGTCTAACTCTCTGGTCTCTCTCTGGTCTCTTTCTGGTGTCTCTCTCTGGTCTCTCTCTGGTCTCTCTCTGGTCTCTCTCTGGTGTCTAACTCTCTGGTCTCTCTCTGGTTTCTCTCTGGTCTCTTTCTGGTGTCTCTCTCTGGTCTCTCTCTGGTGTCTAACTCTCTGGTCTCTCTCTGGTCTCTCTCTGGTCTCTTTCTGGTGTCTCTCTCTGGTCTCTCTCTGGTCTCTCTCTGGTGTCTCTCTCTGGTGTCTAACTCTCTGGTCTCTCTCTGGTTTCTCTTTGGTCTCTCTGGTGTCTCTCTCTGGTTTCTCTCTCTGGTCTCTCTCTCTGTTCTCTCTCTGGTGTCTCTCTCTGGTCTCTCCCTGTTTAAATGATGGTTTTGTGATTATGCAAATCAGCTGCTCATTATGCGTGGCTCCTCCCCCTCTCATCCTCATGTCTCTTTGTTCTTCTGCAGCTCATTTGCATAAATTATCATGAGTAATATTCAACAACAAAAACACAAAGGGGAGCTTTAAACTGTCATTCATCATACACGCTTAAAGCTGGGGTACAGGACTTAAAAGCTGGGGATTTATGGGACCAGGACAAGACCAGGACAGGACCGGGACTGGACCAGTAGTTGGGGCTGAAAAGGAGCCTGGGTTATCAGCATCCTTCATCAGTGGAGTCTGGCCCCGGTCTGGACCTGGTCTTTCTTAGTCCCGGATCATAACCGGACTCTGGGATCAGATACAGGACTGAAGCTTTGTGTGAAGTGAACAGAGCCGGAGCCAAAGTGACACTGAGGACAAAGACCAGCTCCAGGGACCGAGACCTTTACACTTCAGACCTGCTCTTTAGTCCTGCTATTAAACCTGCTTTAGTCCTGTTTTAGTTCTGCTTTAGACCTGCTTTAGTCCTGCTTTAGGCCTGCTTTAGACCTGCTTTAGACCTGCTTTAGGCCTGCTTTAGGCCTGCTTTAGACCTGCTTTAGACCTGCTTTAGTCCCGCTTTAGGCCTGCTTTAGACCTGCTTTAGTCCCGCTTTAGTCCCGCTTTAGACCTGCTTTAGTCCTGCTTTAGTGCTGCTTTAGTCCTGCTTTAGTCCTGCTTTAGTCCTGCTATAGGCCTGCTATAGGCCTGCTATAGGTCTGCTTTAGTCCTGCTTTAGTCCTGCTTTAGACCTGCTTTAGACCTGCTTTAGTCCTGCTTTAGACCTGCTTTAGACCTGCTTTAGTCCTGCTTTAGTCCTGCTTTAGTCCTGCTTTAGTCCTGCTATAGGCCTGCTTTAGACCTGCTTTAGACCTGCTTTAGGCCTGCTTTGGACCTGCTTTGGACCTGCTTTAGACCTGCTTTAGACCTGCTTTACTCTTGGTCCAGACTTGGTTTAGGCCTGCTCTAGATCTGGTCCAGTCGTGGTTCAGTCCTGACTCAGACCTGTTTCAGATCTTGGACCACCCAGAAAGCCAGAACTTTGTGTTACCGACTAGACGAGGGTTTTCAAATCATAAAAATCATAGACAATATTCAAAAACATGATGACCAGAAAGACACCAGGGAGAGACCAGAGGGAGACAAGAGGGTGACCAAGGGGAAACCAGAGAGAGAGAGAGAGAGAGAGATTAGAAAAACACAAAAAGAGACCAGCGAGACTAGAGAGGGACCAGAGAGACTGCACTTCGAGAAGCACAGCAGTTTTGTGAAGTTTGTACCTGCAGCTAATGTCCACCAGAGGACAGCAGTAGCGCGGCTCCTGCAGAGACTGGTGTCATTATTCCAGGGATCTATAAGCATAATTCACTCGGAACTAGAGACACGTGTTACAGTCTATGGTTCTGGTCCATCTACAGTACAGCCCAAAAGTTTGGACACACCTTCTCATTCAAAGCCTTCTTTATTTTCATGACTATGAAAATTGCAAATTCACACTGAAGGCATCAAAACTATGAATTCACTCATGTGGAATTATGTACGTACACAAAAAAAAGTGTGAAACAACAGAAAATATGTTTTATATTCTCGGTTCTTTAAAGTAGCACCTTTT